GAATGAAAAGAAGACCTGCCTCGTGCTCACGAAATGTTCGCGACGCCTTGGCACGGCTCTTGATCTCCTGGCGGAGATCCCCGGCATTTGCGTAGTCAAGCACCAGTGCCATCATCAAAACATTCTCCTCGTCGGCAAGGTCCTTCTTTGCAAAGTCCTCGTAGCACCTCAGTATGGAAAAAAAGTCACAGTTTAGCAGGCAGTGCACCTCCGCCTGTGCGCGGTTCTTGTCAGCTTCCGACATGCCCTCCATGTCCACAACCTTCACGGCAAAAGACTCCCCATCCGACGTGCGCTTCGCACACAGTACGGTGCCGGTCGCACCGGAACCCAGAACTCGACTGACCCAGTACTTCTTCCCCCGCTCCTTCGCCGTCGCTTCATCCATTGCAAAGGCATCGCTGAACGTGCGACACACGCGCGCGATCATCGCGTCATTAGGAGACATCTCCGTCCCGCTCCGGCAAGCTGTGTTGGCAGGTATGTATGTATTCCTCCTTTGGATAGAGTAAAACAACAAACGAAAAAAAAAACATGGAAACATTTTTTTATTCCCCCTCTCCACTCTCGGTCAGAAGTTTTGTTGTTCGCTCAAAAAAAAAACAAAAAACAAAAACAAAAAAAACAAGGCATAGGCGAAGCTTCGTTCTGGTTGCGTTGTTTGCGGGAGAGCGTCCGTCCTGGTCTTGGAGTGTACCGAGCACCTCAGAAGAAAGTAACACAGAAACGGTAAAAGGTGGAAAATTAACGTCAGATCATTGTCAACGCAGAAACACATAAAAATGACGTTAGACGGATTGTCTTGTGTTCAGAGCCTTTGAGTTTATCCAGGTGGGCACGCAACATTATTTGTATTCCCCCCTGGGCCACTCCCAGTTGTCCTCTATCCATCCATCTTCCTACAGATCATTCGGTAGTTTCATATTATATATAAAAAAAGGGCTGAGCAAGATCTTCACTGACAAAGAAAGGTGTATATGGTACTGGCAGGCGTATGCGTGTCACTACAGCACATGCCACTGAGGTAGATTGTACATTTCCCTTTCCCTGCCAACTTCTCCCCCATCATGTGAGTCTCACGATTACTCAAGGAAATTACAGCACACAAGCACACGCGTACGACGTCATTCCCTCTTTTTAGGGGCGGTGTATGCGGATGACTGTGTCGGTGCACCGCTGGTCCGAATGCAAATGTGCGCGCAGTGTAACGGGTGGAGATACACCAACAAAAGGGCCAAGAAGAAAATACAAAGACATGCCCACTTGTGGGCACAGAGTGAGGTGAACAGCAAAGCCATTAACCAGTCAACTAATAATAATAAAACATGAACACAGAGACGACGCTCACAGAGAGAAAGTCCTAAAAGAAGGCCAGAAAGCCCACAAAAATGAATAAAAAACAATAATAGCAATAGCAAGAATAGTGTCAACAACACAACACACTGGTGGGAACATCACCCTACGTTGTATCCTCGTTGGTTTGCATGTCCTCTCTTCTTTCTCGCCCTCTCTTCCCACCCACCCCGCCACAGTCGTCGCGGCTGTTTCACGGTTGTGAATGGCAGTCCCGGCTGTCACCACACATGCAAAGCCCACGCAACTGTGCGTTCGGTCCCCCTTTTTCGTGTGCGTATGTCTTGGAGCACACTCATGCGCGCGGGCCGAGCGATTTGGGTTCTTTTACCCTCCCGACCACACCACGCTGCTAGAACTCACCCGCAGTTCGCTCCACATCGAAAGCAAGATAGAGAGCTGGAAGATGCTTCAGAAACCCATCACATGGAAAAAAAAACACACGCACAATTCGGAAAACAAAACGGCACATTTATATGTGTAGAAACACAAAGATGAACCCTGTGCTATCAACTGCGGCGATGGTGCAACACAAGCCCTCAGCGCAAAGGGTCACAGTAGGGAATACCAAGAAGGGGTGAAAGTGAAAGGACACAAAAACTCATAAATGAGTCCAATATAAAATGTGGACGCAACGGCAATGCGGAGTAAATAAAAAGTGTTCATCGTCATTGCAGAATGCCGATTAGCCCACATACAAGCCACCCCACCTATCCCTCCACCCAACCCCGCAACAAAAGCAAATGCCCTCGCATTCCAATTTGGTTGTGGCAAGCGTGCACAGGCGCAAATGCCTGCAAAAAAAATGTACGCCGCTTTTCGTTCACAGCCAACCCACTCTCAAGAAAGGAAAAAATACAACGCTATGTGTATGAAACATGCCGCAAACGCCACAACGTCACATGTAAGTGCCGTTTCAAAACAGGCATTTAATGATGCGCAGTGGTAGCTTTACGCAACCCAATACATAACCAAAAAAAAAACACAATATCACACAACAAACAAAACTCCTACTGACATTAGCGGGTCCTCGGCAACTGAAGAACACGATGCTTGCACCGGTCATACCACCTTACAGTGCGCAGCTCAAGTTCCAAAAAGGATCCTTCACAACCACAAAGACGCAGGGTGGTGCTCTGCTTCGTCCAGCGTGTCTGCTCTCTCATTAGCTAGCAAAAAAAAAAGAAACAAGGCTGTATGCAAGGGCTGAGACCACAGAGAAAACAAAGCCCAAACACACGAACACACAACTCCACTAAACCGTAACACACAACTCCACTAAACCGTAACACACAGCTCCGGTCAACGTAACACCTCTCAACATAAAGAGCCACCCACGAGAGTTCAATAATAGGCACCACAAATACATCATACAGGCAGCCCAGGCAAACTGACACCATATTCGCAAACAAAACTCTCCCAGCAGAAGAAAATCCTCCCCCCCCCCCCAAAAAAAAAAAAGGATCTGGAGTATGAAAACAACCCACCAACGCTGCTAGCCGTCATCAATTCCGAGAGCCTCCTGGATCTTTTGCATCCACTCATCCCGCTCAGGATCACCACGTGCCTGAAAGAGAAGACGCTTTCCTGTCTTGAAGGCCAC